AGATAGATAGATAGATAGATAGATAGATAGATAGATAGATAGATAGAGGGAGGGTAGGTAGGTAGCTAGGTAGATGAGAGAGAATGATAGATGATAGATAGATAGATGAGAGAGTGATAGATGATAGATGATAAGTGGATGGATGGATGAATGGATGGATGGATAGATAGATAGATAGATAGATATAGTTTTCCATCTCTGTTGGACTTTCTAGATTTTCTTTGAAGACGTTTTGCTTCTTATCCAAAAAGCTTCTTCAGCTTCTGACTGGATGGTGGGGAAATGGAAGGATTAAATCCTATAAATCCTCCCCTTCCATAAAGTATCAATCCTTCCCTTCCCCACCATCCAATCAGAGCTGAAGAAGCTTCTGGGATGAGAAGTGAAACGTCTTCAAAGAAAAAAAAAATTAAGAAACTCCAGTTGTTGCTCTTGGAAAAAAAAAAGCACCTTTGGGACAGCTAATTGTAAATTAACATGCTGGCTCAGGGATTCTGGGAGTTGAAGTCCACAGGTCGTAAAAGGGGCCGTAGTCGTGTCCCCCTCCGCCCCCCGTGCCCATCCTCCATTTTATTGGTCGTCTGATTTCCCACAGCCCAAATTTGAGAGCCCCACTTAAGCCATTTTCGAAGTGCTCCAAGGCTTCTCCTGCCTTCCTAGAAAACGCAGGAAACATCTCTCGTGCTGCGTTTGCAATATCTCTGCTCCGGTTGCCCCGGTGACAATCTATACACCTCCACGCTCTGCCCTTGGGACCCCCAACATGTCATACCCTGTCATTAGCCAGCGTTAGGAAGTAGAAAACTTCTCCCGCGGGGGGATCTTTCTCATTAAGATGCAAAGCGAGCGTGAAAACAACTTCTGAGGTGGCCTCTGCAACCCAACCTCTGTCCCTTCCTGTCGCTTTCCATCCTTTGGGCAGTTCAGGGTTTTGTCCTGGGTGCCAACATGCAGCCAGGCCCCGATTCCATCCTTGCATCCTTAAGACAGGGCTGGAAAAGCCAGATGGGTGGACGGTCAATTCTAGGGCAGGCCGGCGTCCTTCCTATTTAATCGCCTTCTGCAATAACAATTTCTGTAATTTAGGAAGCCAAGTCACGGTTTCCCCCTCTAAAATCTGTTCCTCTCTCGTCGCTATCCTACCCCTACAGCAATAATAGCAAAAACCCTGGAAAAGTCAAGTATTCATGATCTAGTGGCAGGATTCAAAATGTTTTACTGCCGGTTCTGTGGGTGTGGCTTGGTGGGTGTGGCAGGGGGAGGATACCGCAAAATCCCCCTTCCCTCCCCACCCCACTAACCTGCTTTCCAGCTCCGTTCTCCTGTCCAGGGCAACCAAAGAAGAACCAGCCGATCAGCAGTGGGCGTGGCTTGGTGGGTGTGGTGCTCTCAGGGTGTGGCTTGGTGGGCGTGGCAGGGGGAGGATACTGCAAAATCCCCTTTCCCTCCCCACCCCACTAACCTGCTTTCCAGTTCCTTTCTCCTGTGCAAGGCAACCAAAGAAGACCCAGCTGATCAGCTGGGACTCAATGGGAGGCAGAGAATCGATGGGGTTGGCAGGGCCAGTCAGAGGTGGGATTGGCCGGTTCTTAGAATGACTCAAAATTTCCACTACTGTTTTTCCAGAACTGATCCGAACCGGCTGAATACCACCTCTGAAGAGGAGAGAAGGAGGCAGGAAAGGATTGTAGTGGGAGAGAAGAGAGAAAGAGGAAGGAAGGAAGGAAGGAAGAAAGGAAGGAAGGAAGGAAGGGAAGGAGGGAGGGAAGGAAGGAAGGAAGGAGGGAGGGAGGGAGGGAGGGAAGGAAGGAAAGGAAGGAAGGAAGGAAGGAGGGAGGGAGGGAGGGAAGGAAGGAGGGAGGGAGGGAGGGAGGGAGGAAAGGAAGGAAGGAAGGAAGGAAGGAAGGAAGGAAGGCAGGCTTGGTGGGTGTGACTTGGTGGGCATGGCGGGGGAAGGATACTGCAAAATCCCCATTCCCTCCTCCCCCCCACTAACCTGCTTTCCAGCTCCGCTCTCCTGTGCAGAGCAACCAAAGGAGACCCAGCCGATCAGCTGGGACTCAATGGGAGGCAGAGAATCGATGGGGTTGGCGGGGCCAGTCAGAGATGGGATTTGCTGGTTCTCCAAACTATTCAAAATTTCCACAACTGGATCTCCAGAACCGGTCAGAGCCCAGCTGAATCCCACCTCTGGTTCATACTGTTTTATACTGCACTGGTGAGAGCATACTTGGAATTTTACACCCAGTTCTGATCCATCACAATATAAAAAGAGATGTTGGGATTCTGGACAAGAGTGCAGACAAGAGCAACAAAGAGGAATAGAAATAATAGAAATGAAGGGAAGGGAAGGGACCTTGGAGGTCTTCTAGTCCAGCCCCCTGATCAAGCAGGAGACCTTATACTGGACTTAACCCAAGCCCCCCCCCCCCCGCTCCCATCAGCTTTCTAGCAGCTGTGAAATTGTTGAGAATTCAGCAGCTGCAACTTTCGTGACACTGGACGGGCCTCGCGGGTCTCCCAGCCAAGTTCATCAGGCCGTTCAAAGCATCCAAAGGCCCTGAGTGACGCCAGGCTGAGCTCTGGGGAGGAATTGCAGCAGGCAGATCTACGCAAGTGAGGAGGCTTGGCTGCCCCCCCACCTGGGGGGGGTCATTTAACAGGAAAAGGAGGTGAGGCTTCCATGAATCTTGGAGGGGGGGCGGAGAAGAGAAGAGAAAGGCAGAACTAAACGCCTTCGAAGGCTCACGGAACGCCGTTCCCTTCCCGTCAAAGGGGTCCCTGTTTTCTTACTTGCATTTTTTTTACATGCTTTCGAACTGCTCAGTTGGCAGAAGCTGGGACAAGGAACGGGAGCTCACTCCGTGACACGGTGCT